AAATCCTGGTTTTGCAAATATTAGTAAACTAATAGTCCGTTGCAGAAAGATTCCTGCTGCACTCTCCACTGCCCCGCCTGCTTCTCTTCCTTCTCCCCTGCCCCACTTGCTTGCTTCGCTTCCTTCTGCAGCACTTGGCTTCTTTCTAAACTGTCTTGATATGCAAATTAACTGCCATCTTGGTGGGGTTAATTTGCATACTTGCCCTGACTGGCTGGTGGGCATGGCTTTGGCTTTGCAAAGGTGAAGTCAATTTGCATATTACTTTTTTATTAGGTAGGATGGGTAAGTTTAGCCTCTCCATATATTTCATTTAAGTGCAGTTTAGTTTATTATGTATACTTCATGGTGTTTAGGTTGATGTTATACTAACTTTCTTGGCAATATTGTCAATTAATTTAGGTTCTGAACTCTGAACTAGAAGTAAAGTAGAGTTAGGATAAAATTCTAACTAAGTTTTCTTCTGTACATAGGAATAACTAAACTGAATGTGTAGAATGTAAATGTTTTTAGGGGCTAAGTAATGTCCATCATACACCAAAAAATTAATATCTGCATGTTGCAGATAGCTAAGACTTTCATTAGGACTTATCTTTTAGGACATACATGTTATAAATAAATGCATTTTAGTATTTGATGGCTAAAAACTATTTTATCTTGCATTCATCAATGGCGAAGGAACTAAACATATTAATGAAATATCAACAAAAAATTTTACATGTAATTAATGTGTACTGTATTTTTCTGAGTAAATACCTGTGTGTGGATGTCTATTAAATTCACAGTGTTTCTTTTGGGGGTTCCATACTGTATCTTTGGGGCAGACCAATGCATTGTTCACATAGACATCCAAACGTTGCAGTGTGGAAAAAAAAATTCCTACCAGAACAGCCTGTTAAAAATGAACACATTTTTACATCTTAAAAGAACAATGAAACAAAATATTAGGATATTATCACTTAAAAAATAAATGTCCTTGAACTATATATACTTTCTGCAAAAAAATTAAAACTACATTTTATGGACTTAGGATAAATATTGAGCTAAAATTATTAAAGGGACTTACATTCAACCATTCACAGAGATGTTACAACTTATTGATAATTCTCAGTAGAAAAGTGTAATGTAAGAAAGAAATTATTTGAGGAGAATCTCTAAATTAAAGAAAGGGCCTCTTTAAAAGCTAACAAAGTTCAAAACACACTTTCAACTCGAGGTAGAAGAAATGGGGAATTTAGCAGTACTCTGTATAATGCAAACTTAGCAGTACTCTGTATAATGTAATCACACAAAATTAGCTACTTAATTAAAAAAAAATGCTTATCTCCACGACAAACATGGTAGTAAGACTAATAAAAATTAGCCCTAGTCTGTTTGGCTCAGTGGATAGAATGCTGGTCCACAGACTGAAGGGTCCCAGGTTCGATTTTGGGCAAGGACATATACCTTGGCTGCAGGCTGGATCCCAGGTCCTGGTTGGGGCATGTGTGGAGGCAACCAATCAATGTGTCTCTCTCTCACATTGATCTTTTTCACTCTCTGTACCTCCCTCTCCCTCAACTCTCTAAAAAGCGATGGAAAATATCATCCAGTGAAGATTGAAAATTAAAAAAGACTAATAAAGATCAGCTCAAGCAACTCTCATCTTTGATTCAATTTTGTTCATTTTCCATGTTTATATTCCCCAAATCTCATGCTGTCAAATGTAATCATAGAGTAAGAAGACTGGCTTCTACAGGACAGGAAGGAAAATTCTTTTGAATTATTCTTTTGAGGCTCAGAATAATAACTGTCACAATACTTCGTAGTTGCATTCTTAACTAAAAATATTCTCTTTTATTCAAAAACCGATTGTCTATCTGAGCCGGGCATTATTCTAGGAGCACTCAAAAGACCCTGCCTTGTTTAAGTTTACATTGTAGAGTGAGGAGACAGAGAATAATTAATAGAAATAATAAAAAGCAAAATATCAAACAGGTTAGAAAGTAGTAAGCACTATGGAGAAAAAGAAAAGGTAGATCAGAGTTTACACTGGGTAGAGCCTAGAGCAGTGGTCGGCAAACTGTGGCTCGCAAGCCACATGCGGCTCTTTGGCCTCTTGAGTGTTCTAATGTCACTTCTTCAAAATAGACTCAGCCAGGCAAAAAACCAACTTCTGAGTATGAGCCATGAAGTTTCAATCGCACTGTACGTGCGTGCCTGCACGTGATATTTTGTGGAAGAGACACACTCAAGGGGCCAAAGAGCAGCATGTGGCTCACGAGCCAGTTTGCCGACCACTGGCCTAGAGGAAGGGTAATGGGGTAGGCTTATGGAGTGAATGGGAGCTGAGGAGATGGGGGAGTTAGCCACCTCGGGTAGAATGTTGGCGGCAGACTCAACATCTGAATACAGGCAATGGTGGTGGCATGTCTGGTGTGTTGAGGACAGCAAGGAAGACCAGTGCGGCTGGAGGAGTAAAAGAAGAAGGGGGAGAGCTAAGGAGGAGATTCTCGTATGGTTTTGTAAGCCCCAGCGAGGACTCTGACTCTTGGGAAATTATCGTAGGGTTTGGGGCAGGGGAATGATCTAACTAGCTAACATTTTGAGAGTCCCTCTGTGGCTACTGAGGTGAGAATGGACAGTAAAGGGGCAAAGAGAGAGCAGGAGAAGGAGTTGGGAAGCAAACACCTTCATCCAAGGAAGAGATAATGTTGGCTCAAACAGGATGGCAGCAGTGGAGATGGTGAGAAGTGCTCAGATTCTGGAGATTAGGGAGGGAGACTCAACCGGATTTGCAGATGAATTGGGTGAGGAATGTGAGAGAAAAAGAAGAATTAAGAATAGATTCCAGGTTTTATATCTTGAGCAACCAAAAAACTGTGATTGCTGTCATCTGAGAAAGGGGAGGGGTGTGTGTGTCTCCTTTCATTACTCCTCTTTCGGCTTCATCTCATCAGTATCCTTTCTTCACATTCCTAATACTCTTAGACTTTCACATCTCATACTCAGAAAAAAAATCTATATTATGAGACTACTGCTTAACCTCAAACTCCTTCCCACTGACATAGTGTATATAAGTTTAATCACCTCAGCTGAATTCAGTTTATAGGAAAGATCTGACATTAATGAAGATATTTTAGATAATGTGCTATGACCCTAAAGTCCAAAGGTGTATTTCTGACACATATAAATAATAACAGCATGGAAGAATAAATATATAATTCCAGTGACCAGTTTGGATGTGCACTATTTTTATGTAAAAATTCAGGTTTCCTTCCTAATCGCCCAAACCATAGATCACAGGGTCATGCCTCATAGATGAATCAAGTGCATATGGGGGAGAGGTGTTTGGTATTCATATGAGCCAATAAAACTGTCTGGGCTAACAGTATTCTTGGTAGTACCCCCACGATCCTTGAAAAGGAGCTGTCGCTGATGATGTTCAAGAGAACAGGGGAGGAGATAAAGTCCTTAGCAGATAGAAATATAAGCAAGTAGTTAACACCAATAACTCTTAAGCAATTGTTTCCATCTTGCTTACCTTGTCATGCTTAACGTTAAGCAACATCAGTCGAAGATTCTGAGGACTGGTGCCCGTGAAGTACACTTCATAAGATCTGTTCAGAGCCACAATGCTATGAAACAGGGACAGTCTTCTCTGGCAGGAGTATCCGGCACACCAGCCATGATCCTGTGGACCTAAATCCACCAAATGAAATTCATGTTTCCTAAGATGAATGTTATTAGTGCCAAGTGCAACAAGTAATTGTACTAAAAATAAATTGTGGTGATGAAGTTCAGTATTTACATCATTTATCCATCCGCCCATTTATCCAGAGATCAAAGCTATTTCTCACACCCTGGCTTAAATAGAAAGGCAGGGAAGCAACTCCTCTCACCCATAATTTTACACTGCCCAAGTTAAGACAGGTAAACTGATGTATTGAGGATTTGTACTAGAAAGTCAATGAAGAAATACTAGATTTGCATGGTTCTCTACTTTAATGATCATATTTAAGCTCAGGCCATGCAGTAAGGAAGAAAATGCTCCATCCTTTCTCCTACCTATCAGATGTGAGTTTGGGTGGGGAACCAACTTTCTCAGGCTCTGCTGAAAAATATGCTGTAACAGAGTTAAGTTGTTAAAAATAGAGCCTGTACTGTACCTAGAAATAGGGAATTTCTACATCTAAAGCATTGATTTATTAGCTCTTCCTTATACTCATTTGCTCATCAGTTAATTTGTAACTTCAACAAACTCTTAAGTATGTTTTTTATTGTCTTTGCCTTCCACTATTATTTTAATATATTTTTTGTTAAAGTGTGTGATTATAGGTAGTGTTGGAAGGTCAACATCGTTCAAGATTGAACTGAAGCAATCTGAGAAATGACACTCCAATAAACTCTCTAGAAAGCCAAAAGACAGTGAATGCTTCTCTACCTGAATCTAGACCTTTCTAGAACAGGCACACCAACTGCAGCCAACTTTTCTATTTCACTCCAGTTTTACAGTGGCTGGGATAAACATTAGTGAGGTATGGAATGATGAATTTTCTTGATGTATTTATTCATTAACATTGCTCAATTTCCTAGCTTACTTGAACTTATAAATACTTATAACCGAACTTCAATCAAGTTTTAAATTAATATAAACTTCTGCAACTCAAGTGGAACATAAATTTTACCTTAGCATCCAAAATATAAATCCTACATTTAAATAAACCTTCTTTGTGGGGTTTTAAACAAACAGAAAAAAATGTCTACATATAAAATGAAAAATTTAGAGTGACAAAAGCCACCTAGTCCAGTGTAGCCCAAGTTTCATTTAAGAAATGAAAACAAAACACATAATTTCAAGGTTAAGTCTTCTAAAGATTCATGAAAATAAAAAATGAGCAGGCTGAGAATATTTATTTATAATATATTATTGTTAGGGGCAGAAACAGAATAGTGGGAATTAGCTATAGTTGTAAGAAATATGAATCCTCTGTTAACTAGGACTGTTCTGTTCTTATTAGAGAAAGCACATTCTGAGCTGGCTGAGGGTTGTATACCCTGGGACATGAGAGTTAACCATAGAATGCCGCCCATTCTCCTTCCCCAAGAACTGCCTATTGTCATGGAGAGATGAACGACCTTGTTGCTGAAACAATCTGGTAAGGGAAGCCCCTGCCCTTAGCAAACCCTCACCCAGCCTGCACTGCCTGTAACCTGTAACCTTGCCTACTTTCTCATGACTGTAATTCATACTTCCCTATGTAATCTTTGTCCTTCTATCCAATATAAGCAGCAGGCTTATGGGGAGGGGTAGAGCAGATTTCCATGGATTACCTGCTGCTCTCTCACACTGCTGGTATTATTAGAATAAACACTCATATATAATTCAACCATATCTCTGCTTACTCGGCTCAATCAGTGACAGGCAGCCCGGACCCATAGATTGTTCAGTTTTATCGGGTCTAGTAATAATTAATGTCGTTTTTAACATTTGTTTAAAATCTTGCTTGGCGTTGACTTGTATTGACATAACCTTCAAACACGTGGTATCTACAGAACATGTGAAGTGCAATTAACAAGCTTTGCTTGAAAAAGTTTGTGTTTGGTTTGGTTTGGTTTATGTTGCAAAACTAGGGCTAAGAAGATGATGGATGAAGAGCATATTTGGCACTGCATGCTTTACGAGTTCCAATTAGGAAGAAAAGCAAGTGAGGCTGCAAAAAACATCTGTAGTGCTCTTGGTCAAGATGCAGTTAGCGCCAGAAAATGCCAGCGTTGGTTTGAGAAATTTCGCGAGGGAAATTTTTCGTTAGATGACAAGAGTGGTCGAGGCCGTGTGTCCAATTTTGATCAAGAAGCTCTTCAAGCTCTTTTGGTGCAAAATCCTCAAATTACCCAACAAGAGCTTGCGACAACTTTAAATTGTTCACAAAAAACAATTTCCGTGCACTTGGCAAAGTCCAAAAGTTTGGAAAATGGGTTCCTCATGAGTTGACCGACAACAACCGTAATCAAAGAGTCACAATTTGCAGTTCGCTCCTCTCTCGTCAAAACCGTTTGCCGTTTTTAGAGCGAATTGTTACCGGAGATGAAGAATGGGTGCTGTATGTTAATTTGAAAAGGCGGCCTCAATGGTTGGACAAAAATGAGGCTCCGCAGCCCACGCCAAAACCTGACTTGCATGCGAAAAAAGTGATGTTGTGTGTTTGGTGGAATTTTAAAGGAATTCTTCATTATGAACTTTTACCATCTAACCAAACCATTACAAGTGCAGTGTATAGTGCCCAATTGGAAAGGTTAGCCCAAGCTTTAAGAGAAAAAGAACCCGCGCTGATTAATCGGAAGGGCGTAATTCTTCACCACGATAACGCACGACCGCATACTGCAAGAATCACTGCTGAAAAACTGCGCCAGTTGGAATGGGAAGTTCTCCCTCAACCTGCATATTCTCCTGATATTGCCCCTTCCAATTACCATTTGTTTCGTTCTTTGCAAAACTTTCTTCTTGGAAAAAAATTTAATAATGAAGAATGCCTCAAAAATGCATTGACCGAATTTTTTGCATCAAAATCACAAGAATTTTACAACAGAGGGATTAAAATGCTTCCTGAGCATTGGGCACAAGTAGTAGAAAACAATGGCAACTATATTGTTGATTAAATTTTGTTGTATTGTTTAAATAAATTCGATTTTAAAAAAAGTATTAGAAAACGACATTAATTATTACTAGACCTAAATATTATCGTTCTTTGCTGTTTTTTTTTAATTTATTTATTATTTATTTATTTATTTTTAATATATTTTATTGATTTTTTACAGAGAGGAAGGGAGAGAGATAGAGAGCTAGAAACATCGATGAGAGGGAAACATCGACCAGTTGCCTCTTGCACACCTCCTACTGGGGATGTGCCCGCAACCAAGGTACATGCCCTTTACCGGAATCGAACCCGGGACCTTTCAGTGCGCAGACCGATGCTCTACCATTGAGCCAAACCGGTTCAGCTGCTGTTGTTTTTTTAATTTATGAGAGGCAAATTGCCATTTTGGAGACACTTAGGCCATTTTTTTCTTAAAAGTATTTATGTTATAAGTATGAAGATCACTCAACAAATAACTTTCCTCTCTTTCTTCTTCTAGTGATCACTTCTGAATCACTGCCCTGGCTTTCTAATATGGGAAACTGCTGAAGAGTCAAGTATCTCTCTTATACATAGATCTTTCTTACAAATGGCAGGCACAGATATTTGCTAGTTTTATGTGATAATAATGTATGAGATGTCCCTATGCATGTACTAAATAGTGAGTGCTTTGAGTAATCCTAGTTTGCTGACATTGAACACCTACCATTAATGAGATCTACATAACCACTGCTCACTACAGCCACAGGTGAGAGTCTTCGAGTTTCAGTGTCAGAATCCAGGCTTTCAATGACCATCATTGCATATTCCATCCCAAAGCACCGATAGCTCTGCCATTCTGGAATGTACCTACAGGTTGAATCTCTAATAATTCCTAGAAACATAGGTATATACATTTTAGCAATGAAAAGAAATCTCTTTGCAAAAGCATCCACATACTATCCTTTTTCTTGTTATGTAACATTAATAAGTAGAAACTACATTATTGGTTGAGTACATCAGTCATTATAAAGAAAAGATATATCTTGTTTCACAAGTTTGAGAACTACCGGAATAATATCCAACAAACCTTTATAAGGTGCTTTCTCAGTGACAGGGATTCTACTTCCATTTGGGAATGTAAGCATAACCTTTGGAATTCGGTAGTCTCCAATTCCTAACTGGCTATTTCCATTCCATTCATATTCTGATTGCGGTATCACTGAACCAGAATTCCCCAGAAAGGAGCCATCCATATCTCTGAGAAAAGATTTCCTTTTGGCATCACAAACCATGTCTACACAATCAGATGGATTCACCTTCCTGTGGAGAAAAGGTCAAATGTATGAATACTAAGGTTTAGTATCCCTCCCTATTTCTAAGGAGCATTTGAGTATACTTGAGTATTTGACAAGAGAGTATCCAAAAAAATTTTATTGATTGAATCTTATCTTTTCAGACAGGATTTAAAGTAGGACCCAGTAGCATATATAATGTGCATTGTAATGAGATCTGTTTTCCGTTGTGTTGATTTGGTCTATTATGAATTCATTAACATTTCAAAAGGACAAATTATACCTGTGGGATATAAAATTAGAATTCCACTTTGTTGTTTTATATTTTCTTGAATAATAAGTTTCATATTTGTGAGTAGCTAACAAAATATTAAAATTGCTCTATTGTTCAGGACATTAAAAAAATCCTGTGTTGGCAGGGAAATCTTTACTATTTTTCCTTTTCTTCTCTCTTTTTTAATGGGTCTTTAAATATTATAAAAGTATTATATGCTTACTATGCAATCACCTAAGAACTTGGTAAAAATTTAGTCCCCTTCACTTTCTTATCTCAAGCTCTTAGGCGCATCACAAACTACAGATTAGTATTTATTCTCATTGACTTTTGCCTATGTAAATGCAAACAGATGTGCTTGAATTATGGTTTTTATGCTGCACATTTTAGTAAGCATTCTGTAGATACTGTAAGAGATGACATACTATAAACTCACAATGCCGTTCAACCACAGATGGTATTCTGCTTTCATCTTGGGCCACCTGGAGTGTGGATTGTTAATTGGTTATAAAAAAAAATAGCTATTTGATTTGCAATATATTATATATAGTTTTGTAAACAAGTCCGTGGGTAGGTGCCTGGTGGCACTCATTGGACAGTCTGGGGCTCTGTCTAATCTCAGCTTCCAAAGAAAGAGCTGAGATGTAGACTTTTGTTCAAGTTAGGTATTGAGGGAATCCTCTCAAAAGGGAAGGGAGCGGCCACAGTGAAAAGCTGTGGGGCTATTATCAAAACAAAATCAGATGAAGTCAAACTATTTATGAAACATTGCATTTCTCTGAAGAGATGTCTGACAGCATTATTCCTTGTCTTTTCCTTATCCTGAAAATGAACAAATATATCTAATAGAAAATTTCTTACCTCCACTGCTGCCTTACACTTAAATTCCTTGTCTGCACCTCTTATGAATAGTAGCAATTATTGACTATATTCTTTTAAGATTTAGAATGGAGGTGGTTCAGCTTCTACAAGTATTCTGACACCACCTGACCTTTGTGACTGAAAAAATCACTGTTCTAAGTTTCCACATATTCTCAGTCACAGTTATAAGGACAGACATTCAATTTTCAACAAAACGTTAAGAGTGCATGAGATAAGACACTTGGAAAGCAACAGGAAACAAAAAAGTGAATGAAAATCAAAGAAATGCTAGAAATGTCTCTCGTTCCAAATGGAGAGATACTTTTGTACAGTACATTTCTAACCCCATTCTGCCTCTTATGTTTAATGAGAGTGTTATTTACAATGCATTAAGCCCTGGCAAGGTAGGTCAGTTGGATAGAACATCATCCCAATACACCAAGGTTGTGCGTTTAATCTCTGGTTAGGGCAAATACAAGAAGCAACCAATGAATGCATAAAATAAGTGTAACAACAAATTGATGTTTTCTCTCTCTCCCCCTTTCCCCTCTCTCTCAAAAATCAATTAAATAAATATACTGCATGGAAAAAACAGTATGAGAAAATATACATATATTCAACTTAACTGAAAACAAGTACATTAGTCTTCATTTTCATAATGCTGATAAGAAACATAGAAATTTTCCCAGCTCTATGGCAGGGGGGAAAGGCAACAGAGAACTATGAAGAAAGGAAGAAAACTGGGTTTTCATATATTTTACCTTATATCAGGCCTATGTATAAATATTTTTGCTTTTTCAATAGTGTCAACCAGCTGTATGTTCTTCACATGGATTGGATGCTGTAAATCCTCATTTAAAGGATTAGTAAAGAATATCACATTAGTTTCACCTGAACAAACATTCTTGAATCCAACAAATGTTGAACCTGAAATGTAAATAATAGATAAGTAATTACTTTCCATAGAGGAAATGGTACAGTTGCATTTCATGTACCTACCCTGAAAATGAAGGTGTTAGCTTATGTGGAAGATTAATCCACCACCATATGTGGTAGATTGTTGTCTCCCTATGTCAACACCTCTGAGTTGTCATTTTCATATTTCTCTGCACTTGGCCATGTAACTTGTTTTGGCCAATGGGACAAGAGCATTTGTGGTATTAGCAGATCTGAAAAGTACTGCATGTTAGGGCTCACTCTCGTGGTGCTCTAGGAAACTGTGAGTTTAGAATGTGAATGAGCCTAGCTCAGTCAGTCTCATTACTCCATTCTTGAAATGGACTCTGATGTCTGATTTCTTTTCTTGTCACATTGAGCAGATTCATGTACACATTCATTTTTTTAAATATATATTTTATTGATTTTTTTAACAGAGAGGAAGAGAGAGAGATAGAGAGTTAGAAACATCGATGATAGAGAATCATCAATCAGCTGCCTCTTGCACACCCCCCACTGGGGATGTGCCTGCAACTAAGGTACATGCCCTTGACCGGAATTGAACCTGGGACCTTTCAGTCCACAGGCCGACGCTCTACCACTGAGCCAAACCGGCTTCGACTATGTACACATTCATTTACATAATTTTTTTTACTAATAATTACACATTACTAATTATACTCTATGTACGCTTTATAGCACTTAATTGAGATTTGTCCAAGTTTAAACTTGCCTGAAACTTCCAAAAGGCCACTGATGGCGTTGTAACTCATGATCCCTGCATGAGGCTTCCGAGGTGCCATGTTATGTGCTGAAGCAAAGGTGGGCCAGCAAACCCCACTTCTCCCTCCTTTTATGAAAAGAAGACAGTTAATGAAATTTGAAAGTGCATTCATTAATTAAATTTGAAAGTGCATTCAAAATTAAAATTCTAAATTTTCTACCTGATGGAGGTCTAGAACTCCGATGGGCAGCAGAAAGTTCAATATTGGGATCATCATTTGTTAGGCGATCAGAGCAATTAAATTCAGGGCTACTTCCAACAATTAATGAGCTCTATGAAAAAAATTCAAACAATACAACTTTAATAATAGCTACTGCTAAGAGAAAACACAATAACTGTTAATACTGAATTGCTCTGTTGCAAAAATACAATCTATATGTTTGAGAATTGGATCATTAAACCAAGATGAAAAAGGTGTGATTTCTTCCCAAAGTGGAATGACTCAACGTGGCAAAGGGAAGATGGATATGTAGACAATTATATATAATGGCATGTTCTGTTTCTAGGTTATACATATGTCCAGGAAACAATAGGAACAAGAAGAGGGGGAGTAACTTAAGCTACCTAAGCTGTTTCAGGAAAAAATTCATAGATGGAATGAAAATGTAACTAACTGAGGAAAGGTTAGCAGGTGATAATCAAGCATAGGTGAGGGGCCCTGGCCAGTTTGGCTCAGTGAATAGAATGTGAGCCTGTGTACTGAAAGGTCTCAGGTTCAAGGGCCCTTACCTCGGTTGCGGGCTCCTCCCCTAACCACCTGGGGGCACATGCAGGAGGCAACCAATCAATACTATGTTTCTCTTATATTGATATTTCTGTCTTTCCCCCTCTCTTCCACTCTCTTTAAAAATCAATAAAAAAATAAAAAAATATCCTCAGGTGAGGAGGAGGAGGAGGACAAGGAGGAGGAAGAGGAGGTGATTATGACAACAACGAAGAAGAAGCAGAAGGAGAAGGAGAAAGAGAAGGAGAAGTAGTTGTGAAGGAATTGGAGAGAAGAAGAAAAAGGAGGAGGAGGAGGAGGAGGAAGGGGAGGAGGAGGAGGAGGAGGGGGAGGAGGAGGAGGAGGAGGAAGAGGAGGAGGAGGAGGAGAAGAAGAAGAAGAAGAAGAAGAAGAAGAAGAAGAAGAAGAAGAAGAAGAAGAAGAAGAGGAGGAAGAAGAGGTGAAGGATTTGGAGAGCAGAGGGAAGTAAGGAAAGTTTCCTAGGAGAGGTCAATGAGAGCAAAGGTGGGAGGTTTGGGCTAGCTGGGGTAGAAGTCAAGGAGGTTATTTATATTAATCCTTCAATAATTTTAGTCTTAATATGTGGCTGTATTCATGTCTTACCTTAATTTGCACTGTTTTATTGGAAATTTGGTGAGATATGGCAGCTGGCATATAAATCATTGAAGAAATGGCCATTCCATTGTCAACCAGGGTCACATTATGGATATACACACTCTCTGTGGTCTGTAATACAATTTATAGTTTAAATAGTACAAAACACAATCATAAAAGAAAACAGTCATGATCTTCTATCATTTTACCTGGAAATAAATTCCATAATCC